TGTTGCCGGTCTTTTTCAGCTGGGGCAGTTTGTGGAGTTCACCGTTGGGAAGGGCATGCACGCCATGTACAACGCGGAGGCGCGCCTTCTCTGGCCGCTGTTCCTGCTTCTACTCGCATCCGTATGGCAGTGGGTCCTTCTCGCCGAGCACATTTTTGGGCTGTCGGGCCTTATCAAAAAGGCCTGGGCGGCGCGCAAAAAGGCGGTTAAACCACAAAACAGTAACGCGAGCGCTCACGCATGACCACCGTGGAAATGAGAGGCGTGGGGGTGAGGTGAGGCTGGCAATGTTCCCACAGTCCCAGCAAAACATGTAGCAGAACAAAAAAAATAATGCAATATCAGTGCACTGAAGTGATCAGGCACATTGTGTCTTACGCAGTCCGTGTTTTTTTTTTTGTGTGGATGCATGAAAGGCATACACGTGCAAGGTGTGGCACGGCACGCAATGCAGTGTTGCGGGCACTCTTGGCGCTCGAGCAGCAACAGGGAAGAAAAGAGGAAGGATGTGAATAATGAAAAATTTGCGCGTGTCTGTTTGTGCAATATAATCTCGTGTGTGTACGGCGATGAGTTCCTTTTGTTTTTCCCATTTTGTTTTTGTTTTTGCTTGGATGGTGTTTTTCTTACGCACACTGTTTCGTGTCTTTTTACTCCCACCAGCAAAGAAGGATGATGAATACGACAGGGACGTGGCGCCCGTGCGCCGCAGTGACAGGGCCCGCCTCCTAGGACGTGCTACTCTCTGCTGCTGCACTCCCCGTACACATTATTCCAGCCGATGGGCCAGCGCCGCATACACTTGCAGGTGGCCTGCCTGAGCCATGTAACCCACCGCCTGTAAAATGGAGTTCTCCTTGGGGCAACAGCATGCAGAATGCGTAAGCGACACCGATACGGTGCGGTCGTGCCTTTCGGCGCTGTATGGTGGGCGAAGCGTGGCCGACGCAGCACGGCATGGGCACAGCACAGGGTAGGTGCGGATTTATGCTGCGCCACGGCTTTTAGGGACCCTCGCTTTACAACGACCGTAACTGCTCGTCTCTGCAAGATGGCGCGTCGTGGTGACGGCAGGGAAACATGTTGGCGAAGGGTCTTGAAGCTCAAAGGCCATGAGCATCGCGTGAAGTCATTGCCGCCACTCCCCGCGGTGGGCTACCTATCTGCATGGCGTGGCGGTTGCTGTTGGGCCCTTGCGGGCCCACACGCGCTGTGCCGTGGATTTGAGGAGGCGCAGGCAATGCCTGACGCCCAGCACTAAGCCACGAGGAGTAGCGAGGCTACCGGACAGAAACCCGGAGATCATTGCGCGTCGACGCCGATGGAGCAGAAAAAAAATAAGATGGAAAACATAAGGGGGAGGGGGCGGCTCTCATTAGTTGCGTGTTAGATTATTATTATTATTATTTTATTTTATTTCTGACTTTTTTTTGCGTGCTCTTAGCGCAGATGAGGGCGTCTGCGAAGGTCTGGCTGCAGGAGCAAAGAAGGCAACGAAATGCCCTGCCGTCGGAGGAGGAAACACGGATTCGGAGACTGAAAGAACGGCTGCAACTTGGTTTCCCCCTTGAGCCCCATGACGCGCAGCACAGAAGCAGGCAGAACCAACCGAAGGCCGGTCCTTCAGTTGGCAGCGCAAGCCTACTAGAGCAAAACGCTGTTCTGGTTTCCCGGCTGGACACCATGGAGGAGCTGCTTCGCCACGGTGAGGAGGAGCGGAGGAGGATGCGTTCCCAGCTGCTCCAGGCATCCGACGAAAATCGCCGGTGTGCCATGCAGCTTGTACACTCTGCGTTGGATAGGTATCAGGGGGAGTTGGTTCTAGAGGAGCGACTGTTCCGAGAAACACTGCTACTGCATGAGAGTGAGGCAAAGCAAAATATCCTTTGGGAGCTGAACCGCTGTTTGCGTGGCGGGAAGTGCACGCGTGCCTCTCGCAATGATTTGACTAAAAGAAAGCCGAGACTTTTATTGGGCAAACAGTTTTACGCTTAACCACTTGGAGCCTTCTGCAGTCGAGAAAAGAAACACGTCGCAGAAGAAATTTACATTACGTCGCATCAACATATATTACTCAGTATTGTAATGCGCATTGATAATGCCTTGCTGCTTGGATTTCCGTAAAATATTTACTGCATAGGATGCGTCTTTGCCCACAAGAAAGTACAGTTGAAGCAAAAAAATGCGCTGCTTCGGCGTTGGCAGGCCGTATAGGGTTCTGTGCGATGGGAGGCGCGGACCAGTGACGGGGATCCTCCATCTGGTGATGCGAAGAACGCTTCGATGGAGTGGACGTCAGTGCTGCATGGTCTCCTACAGGCTTTGGTGGCGGTGGTGGAGCCACTTCTTCGCGTGAGTACGCAGCTGTGGCAGATGAATGGGGGACTCTCTGCTTTGTGCGGCATCCCCTGTGCGGGCGATGGATGTCTGGTGTGCGGCGTTTGCTGTTGGAGGAGCGCGTTTTGCGACGACGAACAGTGGTGGAGCGCACGCTGAACCTTGCGAGTTACATCGTTGGTGGCTTCCTACCGTCTGTGCGGCGTCGCGGCGGCTTGCTGGGTGAGCGTGCGTTTGCAGTGCTGGATCCGTTGCTGTGACGGTGCGTTTTACCGTCGCAAGGGCGGCCTTTTCTTTCTGTCCGTTGTTTTCCCCTTCTCCGTGTGTGTGTTTGCTGCTGTGCTTTGTCTGCGTGAAGTGCGCGCTCACGTTGGTGGCTGCTCCTTGCTGTTTGTTTGCGGACGTCTCAGTTAGGGCGCGCTACAAACCTCAAGCGTAATTAGTGCTTCCG